ACCAAGCAAGTGCTTAGCAGTCAAACTGTCCCTTCTAGCTTCTTTATTGCTTTCTGTCTAATTCTCCCTCTTATCGATCTCTTCCAAAACAACACACTGCTCAGTCTCACTCGCTTCTGCCCCTCCCCTAACCCCATGGCTTTGCACTGCAAACACAACTCCTTCAGGGGGGACAGTGGAGCCTGTGGCTTGTTCTCTTTCTTGGCTCTCAAGCCTTCCACCATGAGGCTATATATAACCATCTATATCTATATCTATATCTATATCTATATCTATATCTATATCTATATCTATATCTATATCTATATATATCTATATCTATATATAGGTATAGATATAGATATCACCTGGTCTCTGTACATTCACACTGTTTTCAGGCTTTGCTGTCCAAGCAAGAGTTCTCCAAGGAAGATGACTGAGATTGTAGAGCCTATGCACACTCAATGTGGGACCTGAGATCACATCCTCTCAGCAGTGTTGCTCTGGTGAGGGCTCCTCCTTTTTGGCACTGTAGTGTGATGAGGATCAGCAATGGCATTGTCACTTTGCATGTGTTCGATGAGGGACAGAGCACTTTGTCTACGTTTCTGGCCTGAAGGGCATCCTTTCTGCAGGGGGACAAGTCAACTGCTCGCTATTCTGCCAAGTTGTTGGGTGGTTTTTAAAGTTTGTTGATTCATATTGCTTTTTGTTGTTGTTGTTTCTCAAAAGTATGTTCTAGAAATCAATTGTCCACAGTTGTATGAGTTGCAAATATCTTCTCACACTTTGAGGATGCATTCATTCCATTGTCAAAGCATCCATGGCTCCAGGGAAGTCTGAGAACTTTTCATTTGTATTATATTACAGGCTCATTTAATTTATATTATAGGTTGTGTAAACAGGAGGCCTGTGGGCCAGAAACCTCAAACTTTGATTAAACTCACCAGTATTAGAGCCAGAAATCAAGGGTCTGTCACATACAGGCTGCAGATGAGGCGCAGACAGGAGAATGCTTGCCATCACCAACACTGCATCAAGTAGGTAGGATGGCACAAGCCTATGGTCCCAGATCTTGGGAGGTAGATGCAGGAGGACCAGACTTTCAAGGCCATCCTTGGATATATAGTGAATGTGAGCCAGCCTGGGAAACAGACCAGAAAATTGGTGTCACGTTCAAAGTCAAGATGCTAAGCATCTCTCAAAACTTCAGTGCTTTGTCACCTCAGGCACATAGTGTCTTTTCTTGTCAAAAGCATTAAGGGCATTTACTTTAGGTCATAGTTCAAGGTACAGTCCATCACAGCAGGGAAATTGAGGCAGCAGGAGCTTGACAGCTGGTCACATCCCATCCACAGCCAGGAAGGAGAGAGATGGACACAAGCTGTTGCTCAGCTCCCTTTCTCCATCCTACAGTTCAGGGTCCCCAGGCAGAGGAAACAGGCCACCCATAGTTAAGGTGGGTCTCTCTACATCACTCCTAGCAAGGTCAAGGTAATCTGGCACAGGCATGCCCAGAGGCCCATGTCCCAGGTGATTTTAGGCCCTGTCAAGTTGACAGTTAACACTAAACATCACACTGAGGGTTCAATGCCACGCTGCCACCTTGGGCTTTCTGGGGGTTTGTTTCCGCACCGTGATTCAGTTGTCCAAAGTACCCTCAAGCGCCCAGTCACTCATACCACACCCCACGCTCACCTTTGTGATGACTGTTGTTGTAAGAGTCAGAAAAATCAATACTTTTTGTTGTTCACTGGCAGAGCTCATTGCAAACGACCATTCTCCAGCCAGGACTCCAGGGCACACCTGCTTTATTATAACTTTTGCATTATTGTGAGCAAATCCTGGACAAAACAACATACAAAGATATTCATCTTGACTTACAGTTTTAAGCTCAGTCCATGGTTGCTTGGCTCCGTGTATTTGGGCAGATCATCATGGCAGTGGGAGCATGTGGGAAGAGGCTGCTCACCTCACGGTGGACAAACAGAAAAGAAGGAGGAAAGCTCAGGGGCTCTACCCTTCGGAGGCATTCTCTCAGTGACCTACTTCCTCCAGAAAGGTCTCACCTCCTAAGTTTTCCACAGCTTCCCAAAACAGCACCACCACATGGGACCAAGTGTTTAGCACTCAAGTCGATGGCTGCCAGTTCCTATTCCAACCACAACACCAAGTGAGTGTCTTTAACCCAGCCCATTTCTGACACATCTCTCTAAACACAGTGATGGCTTTGAAAGCGAAGAGCTCAGTCTCCTACGGTTGCCTCCCCCAGATCCAGATGCCTATAGCAAGCCCCAGGCCGTGCCATGGTACTTCTGTGCCACTGGCTTTATTTGGGGTTGTCAATTAATTTGCTAGAGTGGCTCACAGGAACAGGGGGATCACTGCACCATGCTCACTGGTACAGTATACACCCGTTTCAAAAGCTATGGATGAAGCAGCTGAGGGAAAGGATACATAGGGCACAGTGAAGGAGAAGGGCATGAAGCCCCCATCCACCCACCTTCTAGTCTTCCTATGGTACAAGGAATATCAGTCCAGAAGCTTCCTAACTCTGCTGCCCAGGGATTTGTATAGAAGCTGCACTACACTAGCAAGATAGACCACTAACATCATTTCTAGCTACTCCCCTTTCTGAAAAAGTCCCAAGCCTCCAAAAATGGCTCTGTCCTACTGGTACCAGCTTCTCTAGCTATATAGGAGCCCATCCAGAGTCACTCCTTAGAGTGAGAGACGCTTCTGCCATGCAGGGAACTCAAGGGGACCAGGACCCTGTGTCCTGAGCTGCAAGTGGAGACCTGCCTTCAGGACAAAAGATGCTCCCAGCACTGACATTGCATAGGAAATCTCAGCAGTCTCAGGAGCCCTATGCTAAGACCAGGAGCCAAAGACACAATCCACATTCCTCACCTGATTACAATATCCCTGTTGTAATTGTGTGGTCCTGCAGATGCTCATGGCAGGGCCACCATAGACAGACAATTTCATCTTAGCTTCTGATGTGAAGATCAAGGCCTGGGAGACTTAACTCTTTAAAGAGAACAGAGAGAAAAGGTCCTAGGAAGGACACGGCCTTATCTCCAGCCGAATTGGTGATGGGATTTGGACGGTCTTCAGAGTGTGCGGGTCTCCTTGATCTGCTGGGGGAGAGAGAGGAGAGAATGGTTAACCAGACATATTTGGTTTCCTGTTTAATGCAGGGACAACTTGATTTGCATCTCATTTACATCTATTTGTAGTCTAAATCTTGATGGGCCAAATTCAGAGATAAAATAAAATCATACAGCCTGCTATAACTAGTTTATACAGGATATGGAGGTCTTTACAGGCCTTGAAGCTCATGAGGCTCAGAACTGCCTTCTGGAAAGGCTGGCTCTTTCATGAGGCTTGTTTCTTGAGCATTTACTATGAGTCAGCTGCTGTCCTAGAAACCCCACGGGCATATCAGTATATCAGTATAACTCAAGCCTGTATGGAGTAGCAATGAAATCTATTTTTCTAAGTTAGAAATACCATGAGGTGCAACACCTTTGTGGCTGGCACTATGGCTTTAGAGGCCAGCTCTGGCTTTGTTACCTGGGTGTTCTTGGACAAGGTACTCACTATGCTGAGAGTTTCAATTGCCCTGTCAACAGAATGAGAATAATAATGGGCTTAGGTCTAAAGCTCATGTGAAGATAAAGGTGTAGCTGTGTGGTCATGCTCAGGGCACAGGATACCAACAAAGGGGAAGCAGAGACAGAGCCATGTGTAAGGCCAGCCTAATATTCACATCTCTGGCTGATGGAGTGGTCATCCACTGAAGTACGCTATTAGCTAGTTCTATAGCCTAGCATGCCAGCTTCCACCCCCATTTCAGGTGTGGGGGGGGCACCAGACTGGAGATTTTTTTCTCTTGCTGATACTGTTTGTCCTCGTGTGAGAAATGCTAAATGACTTTTAGCATTTTCCAGTATTTTCTTCCTGTCCCATCAGCCTAAGGTCAACGAGGAAGATGGAGATACTCCTATTCCCACAAGTAGCTTGAGTGTGCAGGGCAGCACTCAGAACCCTCTGAAATGTGTTCCACAGAGACCTTCAGCAGTGACTTTGACCAGCCTAGAAACTAATCACATTAAGAACTTTCTGGGCCTGGGGAAATGGCTCACCTCACAAACAAGAGGGCCTGAGTTCCATCTCCATCACCCCTGTGAAAAAAGCTTGGCATAGTGGCTCACACTTGTAGGCTGTAATCCCAGGGATGGCGTGACATGAAAGAGAGACTGGTGGATCCCGGAGCTACCTGGCCAGTTACTTGTTGAAGTTCCAAGACAACGAGAGACACTGTGTTTCCAGAATTCCTTCCTTGGGGAGATGTAAACAACATCTGTCCCCTCCTTATAAGGTCCAAACAACAAACCAAAGTACCCTTCCTCCCAAGTTCACCCTATAAACTAGGAGTTTATTTAGCTTAGTCACAGAGCATGGATGAGGGGCTCCTTGCAGAAGAATGGGGATCCCAAAGCAGTCACACTGGAAAGCCTTCTCCCAATGTAACTAATGGCTTTGCCATAGCCACATAGGTGGAGCCCCTTCTGCTAACCTCCAACAGTGTGTATACTCCAGTACCTCCTGAGGCCAGGTGGAATTGCATACAAATGGCTGGGAAGAATGGCTAGAGTCTCAAATTAGGGTCCAATGGCCCTTCCTGACCCCCCATATTCTGTGAGGAGTTGTCAGCAGTCAACAAACCCTGTGGTACTGGACTCTTGCTTTGTTTTCTCCCAGAGGACCATGTTCTATAGCACTCTGTCTCAGATAAGTAGAAAGCAGCTGAAGAACACCTGAGGTCACCCTATGACCTCACACACATGCCTGCACATGATGGGGAATGTACTGTGTATGTTTATCTTATTGATTGTTGAATAAAATACTGTTTGGCCAATGAGACAGCAAGTTAGACGGGACTAGGAGTCAAAGAGGATTCTGGGAAATGTAGTAGAGAAGTGGTGATCCAGGCAGGAAGTGACATAGCAAAGAGACTCATGTTTAAGCGAAGGAGAAACAGGAGGGGCCCTTTTCCCCTTTGGATCCTCCAATGGCAGGATGTGATCCACCGGCAACAGAGGACGCCAACAAGGAGTCTGATAAGGTAAGTCTTATAAAATATATAGATTTATGATAGTTAAGACTGAGCTAACAGATGAGAATCCCAGTCATTGGCCAAGCAGCATTGTACCTAATACAAGTTTCTGTGTATTCATTTGGGCCCAAACTTGGGCAGGTGGATGGTGTAAAGCACACACATGGCAGTGGGGCTCGGTGGCTTTTGACAGAAAGATTTATCGTAACATGCACACACATACACTTACACACACCTTCACACACATATACTTACACACACACCTGCACACATGTATACTTACACATGTACATGCATATGTGTATACTTTATTTACACACACATACACACATACACACACACACACACACACACCTTTCCACACCTTCTTTCTTTGTCCCCAATTTTAATTCATCAACCCTGGCTAGGTTGGTTTTGGCCCTCTGAACACACCTCACAGGCAACCCATTCAACATGGAACCCATCTCACTTGGAAGAGTGAAATGAGAGAACAGGCTTCAGAGGCTGAATTGCTTAGGTTTGGATCATACTTCCACTGTTCACTAGCTGTGTGACCTGGAGGGTAACTGACTTTCCCCATGTTATCTCCTTCTTATAAAACAGTGATGAGATGGGCAGTGGTGGCACACACCTTTAATTTCAGCACTTGGGAGTCAGAGGCAGGCAGATCTCTGTGAGTTCAAGGCCAGTCTGGTCTACAGAGTGAGTTCCAGGACAGCTAGAACTATTTCTCAGAGAAACCCTTCCTTGAAAAACCAAATAAATAAATTAAGTAATTAAAAAAAAACAAACAGCAATGATCTTCCAGGCATGTCTGTGCATGAAATGATTGCGTGTGTCCCCCTGAGATCCACACCTGGCTTGGGGGGAGACACATTGCCACTTGCCATTATTAGGGTATGCTGTGTGCCCGAAGCACAGGCTTGACTTGGCTCAAATCTGGGTTGCCCTGTAATCTTGGCCATCTCCTTGAACCTCATAGTATCAGTAGCCACAGAGGCCATTGGCACGAGGCAGTCATGCCCATTCCTTTGCCCTCTCTGGGCCTCCTCTGAGCTCTCAGCATCTGTTCTTGTCCACAGTCCTCACCTCGTGTCTCTTCCTGCCCTCAATGGGACACTGGTGCTTCATCTCCTCTCCTGGGGTGCTCCCTCCCCAGGACACTTATGCTTCATCTCCTCCCCAGGAGACCAAAGCCCTCAGGAGGCACAGCCGCTGTGCTTGTCTTCCATCTCCTTCCTCAGAGATTGGGTCTGCACACGGGGGCCCAGTGACAATTCGCTGAGATCACTCAGATGGTGTATATAGACTTCCCTTCTGACTCCACCTATGCCTCTGCTAGAGTAGCTGGGTTTACCCAAAGGCACCATGGAGGGGGTGACACATGACAGGTGCAGCCATGCTCCACACACGTGTGGGCTTGGGATCCTGACATTCCTGTGAATTGACTGAGGCCATCAGCATCTATGGAACCGATCATATTTATGTGTATTAGTTGCCTTCCAGGAAAAAAAAATCAATGTTAATAGCAACAGCGAACACCATATAACCGGTCCAGCTTTGCTTTACCTCAGAGTTTAGGGCCAGGATGGTAAAGATCTGGACTCACCAGCACCGGGGCTGGGGTGAGGTTGAGCTGCAGGGAGGGCAAGCATGGAGGGGCTCATCAGTACAGGTTGCCCCTGACAGCTGCCCCGGGGCTGCATTCTAGACAGTGGCTTCTTCACCTCTCAGGTGGAGCTGCTATTAATGAAAAGTATTCATTGCTGAACAGCTAATGAATGCTTGCGGTTGAAAAATCCAAAAGGGACCCAAAGGATCCAGAGTTAAAAGTCACCCTCTCCCCCGGTTCTCCTTCCTGGAGACAGTGTGTTTACGTTGGAGGGGAAATATTTATGCTTTGCTTGTGTGTATAAAAATTTTCATGCTCTATCTGTGTATGCATGCAACGGTGGCAGCTAGTGCCTGCCGTCCCGCATTATGCTCCTTGGCTTTGTGCGGTGGTTTGGAGGGGGTACTCACTAACTTGCAGAGCCTAATGGTACCTGGTGCCTGTTAATCAAAGGACTCTTGCTTTATTTAGCCAGTCCTCTCTCAATGAACATACAGGTTATCTTTGTTTGTTTATTTGCATTTGTTTTGTTTTGTTTTCTTTGAGACCGGATTTCTCTGTGTAACAGCTTTGGCTATCCTGAAATTCACTTTGTAGACCAGGCTGACCTCGAACTCACAGAGTTTCACCTGTCTCTTCTTACCAAGTGCTAGGATTAAAGGTGTGAACCACCACCACCTGGCCAGGTTATTCTATTTTTCAGAAGCAGTTGTCGACATGTCCTCGTCTTGCGTGGCTCATTAGCAGCAGAGCTTGTTTGAAGAGGCATTTGGTGTTACCCAGCAGCCTCTGTACCGGTCACCCATACATCTCCCCCAGTGCACCATCTGCTTCAGCTCCAGCTCATTTCCATGTAAGTTTCCTTCTTGTTACAGGAATCTTCAGGGGTCAACTTTCACAGTCCTCTGCATCCCCAAATCCAGTGCATCCTTTTGAGTTCTGCAACGTTCCTCTGTGCACATCCCGGCCCTCCTTCCCTATCACCACTTCCTGGGTCCAAGGGTTCACCATGGCTCGAACCGTTTCGGTAGCTTTCTTTCTTATAATGGAACACCAGGCAAAGTCCACACAGGAGAGGAATCTCAAACAATGAAAACCATACAACTGGCCTAGCTTTGCTTTACTTCAGGATTAGGGTCAGGAGGGCAAAGAGCTGGAATCACCAGGACCAGGGCTGGGTGAGGTGGGGCTGCCCTCCCATTCCCATCATGCTCTGCTGACTTTGTTACTCTATAACCTCATCCTATCTCCTTTTATACCTTCTGCCCAAGGCACCATTCACACCCAGACCTCCTGCATTATCTTCCTAACTACAGCTTCCATGAAGTCCCCAAATTAAATGGCATTTCCCCAGGAAGGCTGCTCTGACCTACCACCTCAAAGAGGTCATTCGTCCAGGGTACTCTGTCACTATACCTTATCCATCTCATCTCCTTAACTCAGTTGCCACGCTAGGTAGTTAGATATTTGCTTTTGAGTCATCTTAAAGAGAAAAGTTTCTTCCTACATGTTGTAGCTTGGGATGGAGAGCCCTGCCTCCCATAGTCATCTGGAGACTCAGAGTCCTTCACCATTCCCTAGAGGGTTGCCAGAGTCTTTATAGGTTAGTCTTGGGTCTCAGCCATGTTTTGGCTATAGGTAGGGAGAGGGGAAAATAGATCAAAGCAGAAGCAGGCCTGGTTTTTAAAAGGTGCTGGCTTTGATGGGGCACACATCTCTTCTACTACAAATGAGGCTCGGAAGAATGGTCCACTTGGGCAGCCAGGTGCCCACTGGTAACTACACTTCTCTGAGGGAAGGCAAACATGGAATTCAGGGGACATGGAGGAGCCTTCTGTTGTAGCCCCTAGGGGACCTTGTGGAAGAGCAGGTTACCCAGGGCTTGGGAAGGGCAACTCCAGAACCCCCAGGCTGTCACCATCTACTCCATGAGCCATGGGTTTAAGTCTCTGCTACCAGGTACTAGAGAGGACAGTCCTGGGGCTCCTGGACCTCTGTCTCCCTTTTCTCTATTCATGCCTGTGTGGCTGAGCCTCCTTTTAGACCTCCCTTCTCTTTCATATCAGTGACAATCAGGCCCAGACATGGACACTGGAGCTCAGTTAAGCGCCCCATCAGCAAAGTCCCAGTGCCTCATGGGAACTGTGCAGCCAGACAAACTCTTCCCAGTGCATGAAGATGCAGAAAGAAGTCTCTAAGGATAAATAATTGTCCCCTGTGACTGTCAGAGGCATCCCAAAGTTCCAGCCGGTACTAAACTTGCCCAATAGGTGTCACTGTGTATTCTTGAAAGTAATAAAAGTGTGTTAAAAAAAAAGCTGTGATCTAAAGTTAACTTTAATTGGACTTTTATTACAAAAAAGGATAAAATCTTATTGGTATCACAATGAACGATAGCTAATATTTATCGAGCACTTCCATGGTCAAGGTCACAAGCTGAACTCCCAACACTCCAGGAGCCCTGCAGTCAGATGAGGAAACTGTGGCGTCAAGACTATGTCTGACTTGGCTGAGGCCACAGCACTGCCAGGATCGGGTCCCATTCTACCTACATCTGGAACCTTCCTTCATAACAAAGCCACCAGGACAAGCTGTACTTGAGTGACTCTACTATTGTGATCTCCACATTCTAGGCTTATATCTATCCCCATTGGAAAGGGAGGCATAGAAGACAAACAACACCCTACTTGGAGGGGGTCACTCATGTTGGTCTATGGAGAAGAGGGACCATTACCATCTGGGAAGGACAACTCTCTGACAAGGGTGGGCAGTCTCCATACTGCTGGTAAAGGCACCTCCCATCACTGTCCTTGGTGAAAAAAGCTAGCAGGGCCTTGCAATCTCTCACATCTCTTTCTCAGCCCCCTCCACACCTCCTCTCACTTGCCAGGACTGATCCCTTTTGCTCTTCCCACCACCAGCTCCTGTTAGCCCCCGATCTTTCCAAGTGCCAGTAAAACCAATAATGTTCCTGTCTACCTAGAGATCCATTGTCTGCAGAACCAGGACCCAGCTTTGCCTTCACCTCCAGTTCTGAATCATCCATTACCCCAGACATAACCCAACAGGTGCTCCTCTAGTTTCAAAGGAGATAGGAGGCAGCGCCTGGGGAGAACTTCTGCAAATCCTCTGCCTCCTTGGGAATCCACAGGGCTAGTAGTAAAGAGTTCTAAAGAACTGAGAAATTGGCACAGTCAGTAAAGTGTTCACCTTGAAAGTGTAAGGACTTGTGTCCAATCCCAGGACCCACATTTTAAAAGGTGTTAGGGGCTGGAGAGATGACTCAGAGGTTTAAAATGCTTCCTGCTCCCAGCACTTACATCAGGCAGCTCCCACCACCTGTAAGTCCCGCTCCAGGGCATCTGCCCTCTTCTGAGCTTCATGGTGCCTACACACATGGTACACTACACATACACATAGCTAAAAATAAATCTTTTTGTTAAAAAGCACTGGCCATGGTAGAACACATTTATAATCCAAGTGTCTAAGAAGGTATAAACAGATTCCCAGGGCTTGCCTAGTTCACTTGGTGAGTCTCAGGCCAGTGAATAGACCTGTCGGAAATAAATAATAAACAAGCAAATAAATAAATAGAGCACTTTAGAAATGACACCTGAGGTTGAATACTGCACACACACACACACACACACACACACACACACAGAAACAGACAGACAGACAGACAGAGACAGACAGAGACAGACAGAGACAGAGAGACAGAGAGAGGTCTTGTGACATCCTGTAGAGAAATCTGTTCAGCTCACCCAATCCTCTGAGACACTGGAAAGCAAATGAATGACGACCTTCAGAGAAGCCACTTTTGAACGTTCCACAAGCGACCCCATCCCTGCCCTTTGCTTGTCTCTGATCCTGCCAGCAATCCTTCCCTGACCCTGACCCCCTCTTCTGACTGGAATGTTTAAAGGTACATGCCTCACAGTCCCCTCCCAATCCCATCCTAACTGGAGTGCTGAGTTCTCAGTGCTAGGGCAGGACCCTCCCTGACCTTGAACTTGCAAGGCAGCCAGGATACAGTCTGAAAATGTCTTTCCCCATCTCTTTCCTGGGTATCAGCTTTCTTAGGACAAAAGACTGCTTCAGCCCCTTCTCAGTTCTCACTCAGGCCTGGCTCATCACGATAACCAGTCACATGGAGCAAGAACTGGGAAAGGAGTCTTCACTTTCTCCCTCCAGCCTCACTGTGGTTCCCATAGCAACCACTGTGGCAGGTCAGCCAGTCCCTCTCCTCCCCCAGCCCTAACCCCAGAGGGACCTGTCCTGACTCCTTGAGCATGATGGACAGCTAGAGGCTTCCCTGGAGTTAGGAGCTAGGGACTCCATTTGTCACCCTGGCCTGCTCTGTATGCCCCTTCTGAATGTCTCTTAGAGACATATTATCTATCATCCCCAGATGAGTAGTGACACTGCTCCTGGATGAGGCTTTCCAATTTGGTGCAGGCCTCTGCCCACCTCTGAGATGGAGAGTGGTAGGAACTCTCCATACGGATGGAATGAAGACAGTCAGAGGTCACAAGTCCATGACCAAATCCCAAGGGTTTTCAGGACCAGATGGGTAGTGGGAATTGGGCAGAGGTCATGGGGTAGGGTGACCTGCTGACTCCTGCCTGCAGCCTGGTGGGAGAAACACGGGAAGGGAACTAACACCCGAACTCCTGGTTTATTCTGTGTTCAGACTGCCCACCTTCCCTACTCATAGCCCACTGCCCGGCCTGAGCCAGAGGAGGGGCTGAAATAGGCTGCTGCTAACATTACAAATGCCACCTCTAGGGGATGTGGGGTGCTGAGGGGGTGGCTTGGGCAGCAGCATGACCCTGCACTGCCATCTGTTGCCTCCCTCCATGGCAGTGCCCCCCCCCCAGAGCTCTGACTCAGTCATAGCTGCTCCCAGTCATCCTTAGAGCTGAGTGGGTGAGTGGGTGGGTGATGAGCCCTCTCACCCTGGAAGGGGGGCATGAGGAAAGAGGGGAGAGAGGGAGGTATGAAGGGAGGGAGGGAAGGAAAGGACAGAGGGTGGGAGGGAGGGCCAGAGGGAGAGTTAATGAGTTAGTTCCTGGTGGCTCTGTGAAAGGGACCAGGCTGTTCTAATACATGATCCTGGCAGTTGCCTCTGATACCCTGTGATGGGGATGGGTTGTTCTGGCACCCTGTGGTGGGGATGGGTTGTTCTGGTATCCTGTGATGGGGATGGGTTGTTCTGGCACCCTGTGATGGGGATGGGTTGTTCTGGTATCCTGTGATGGGGATGGGTTGTTCTGGTATCCTGTGATGGGGATGGGTTGTTCTGGTATCCTGTGATGGGGATGGGTTGTTCTGGTATCCTGTGATGGGGATGGGTTGTTCTGGTATCCTGTGATGGGGATGGGTTGTTCTGGTATCCTGTGATGGGGATGGGTTGTTCTGGTACCCTGTGGTGGGGATGGGTTGTTCTGGTACCCTGTGATGGGGATGGGTTGTTCTGGTATCCTGTGGTGGGGATGGGTTGTTCTGGTATCCTGTGATGGGGATGGGTTGTTCTGGTACCCTGTGATGGGGATGGGTTGTTCTGGTACCCTGTGATGGGGATGGGTTGTTCTGGTACCCTGTGGTGGGGATGGGTTGTTCTGGTACATAGCAGAGAGTTCATGTGGCACACCTGGCATGAGCACTTGGGAAGCTCAGGAAATGGCCATGTGTTCTCCTCTTCCCTTGCCATCTGCAGCCAGCATGCAGAGGTGGGAGTGTAGAGGGAGTGTCTGGATACAGGGGCTGGGTGGGGGAGACCCAGGTCAGCAGCACTCTGCTTTGTCTCCCTCCTGTGTCTCTCTTTGCCTCTGTACCTCTCTGTGTATCACTTTCTGACTACCTTCTCCTGTTCCCCAGAGCAGCAGTTTCCGTCTCTCAAAACAACCAGGGCACAAGGAGTTGCCTGTGCAGGCAGCATGGGTAAGGCCATCTGGGGAGGGCGGGGTCCTTCAATGGGCCCATGCCCCCTGCTCACCTTCCCACAGAGTTCCCATCTTTGGGTCTGACTAGGCTGTACCCTCACAGACTAAGGTATCTTATCTCAGATTTCCAAGCCAACTCCCCCCACTCTGCAAGACCAGAGGCACCAGAGAGAGCATAGCAGGGCAGCCTAGCTCTTTCAGCAAGGCATAGCTTGTACTGGCCTGTAGGACTGTGGGGACCTCCTAAGTTACAGTTATCACAGGGATAACTGGGCTGTTGGAGAACCAGGTGAAATGGCATGAGTATAGTTTGGGTCTGCTTCCATGTTCATCCTTAATGCCACAGAGGCTTGGTGCCCCCACCACCACCACAGGAAAGCACCCCCTCCTCCATCCTCTGGACACCTGGCTTTTAACAGAAGGTTTGCCTCCTGCATGGTAGTACCTGTTGGGAAGGCCCTGCCTGACCCTCATCAGAGCGCCCTCCTTTCCCTGCCTTTGCCCTAGTCACTCCTCCATTCCTGTTACCAGGCCAGATAATGATAGGGCTTGCATTGATTTTTATCACCCACACCCACCGGTCCCCCTCCTGACCCTTCCTCTCTATGGGAAGCCTGTGTCACAGGATAAAAAGAGCCAGATGTGAAAGCAAAGGTCCCTTCTGATGTATTCGGCTAGTGAGGATGTTTGATTCCAGCCTAACAAGCTCAGCCATTTTTTTTTTCTTTAGAGCCAACAGAGAAAGAGGGATGGAGACAAAGAGCCGGAGAGCAATGAGATAAAATGAGCCAGAGACAGGTGGGGAGCGGAGGTGTGAGTGTCTGTGATGGGGGCAAGGGCTGGAGGCAGAGCAGCCAGAGCAGGGACCTCTCTCCATGGTCACTTCTGCCTACCCCCAGCTCTGCCTCTGCAGCCTACACCTTAGCAGCTATGAGCCATCTGGCCCTCCTGAGGGAGGTGACAGCTTCTCGCTCCGGGTGACAGGGCATCTGCCTAAGATTTCGGGGTTTCTGCTGCAGTGGACACTTCCCCCGGCAGGCTGGCATGAGCTTGCACAGGTTTGGGGGGGCCAGTGGTGCTGTGGAGTTGGAGGCCCTGCCTCCCTCCCTCTTGGGACTGAGCAGCCATGAAGCCCTGGCTTTTCTGCTCTTCGCCCTTCCGCCTTCTCTCTCCTGCTTTGTCTCCTGGTTCTCCATTGATTTCCTATTTGAAAGCAGTTCCAGCCTGCACCACCACAGATCCAGGCCTCTGAGGCAGAGAAGGCTGTTCTGAACCTGTGAGTCAGAAACCAGCGCTGGTTTTTATTAAAGGCAAAAGAAAAATAATCTGATTTTATGAAAGCAAAACACCCAGTT